TTATAGGTCCCATTCTTACAGTATACCTGTCTGAGTCGGGAAACATCTTCCGGTTTCCATCTACAAAGAAGTATCAGATGGTAAAACCGCTTAGGGTGATGGTACAAACACATGAGAGTGAACAGAGCATTGAGAATCTGATTGTTGACTTCAAACCAGGCGTCTCTCTGGGACTTCTTAGGGAGCGCCTTATTCAACATTCCAGTCATAACGAGGAACAAAATAGCACCTGAGATAGCAACACACACAATCCATACAAAAAGGGCCATATTCATGGGGTCCCTAATCCATTCCTTGCTCATTTTCATGAGAGAAACCCAATCGATTTTTTTCGCGAAAACCCCAGTCAGACGACGATGGCCACTTGAAGAAGCCACCAACTGAGAAACCTCATCTCTATCTTGAGCTAAACGCTTGAATCTAGCAGATGCAGAACCAAAATTAAGAAACTTGAGTCTACTCGGTGGAGACATAGAGCTGATAAGGGACTTTCTTTGAGGGTTTTCACCATTTAGAAGTGTCCTTTGTGATGACGACACCGGAAGAGAAATATGCCCCGCCATTTTATCGTCATTGGATTCCTCAATTTGCTCTTTCCGGTCCCCGTTATCACTCGAAGCCATTCTAATATCAAAACAGAACCCTCAAATCAAATCCCAGAAATATGCAGACAAAGAGAAGCTCATATGAATTAGCTCTTAAAGTATAATTCTGAAATCGAATCCGAAAACCCGAAGACACACAATCTAATCTATAAACCAGCAGTTACTAACTACCACCAAAATTGCAGCAAAACAACAGGAAACCTAAGGAATCTTCGAACCTAAATAAACTAAAAACAAAAGAAATTCGCGAGTGTCATAAGCTCTTAAAGTGTGATTGTAAAATTGAATTGGAAACCCTAAAATTGAAGCAAAACAAAAGGGAAACATGGAATCTTCAAAGCTAACAGATCAATATTTTGAAAAACAAAAGCAGATCATAAAATCTATTCTGAAATCTAAAATCCAGACCTTTAACTTACACAGCACAATGTTTTATATCAAAAAATTGTTCTTTAGCATCAGAAGGGTTACACGTAAATGAAAGAACACCCAGAAATTTGCTCAATTGTTTTCATTTAACGAATAGAAAACAGCATATATATATATATATATATATACAAAAAAGAAGAGTTGGAGGTAAAGAATTTTAAGGAAGACGAACCTGATCACCTGAAACAGAAGGGAACTTATGGGCTGAAACTTAGGGTTAAGGAAAACTGAGAAAGGGATTCATGGGGCAAGCTGTAATGGAATTTGTTCAAAAAAAAAAAGATACACTTTTGCTTTAGTGGAAGCACATGTACAGATGTCCACTTTCAGACTTGACACCACCCTTCGTCCAACCAAAGTTTGAATAAAAGTGGTCTTAATACTCATCAGATGGCTTCAAGCATTTTGAAAGGCTTAATACCAGTTTTGGTCCCTACACTTTACACAAATTATCATTTTGGACAAAATACAGGAACCAAAAGTGGTATTACACCATTTTGAATCTTCCAATATGCATGCAGTCTATCAAACATTTACCATGGTTGTTGGGGCGTGAAGAGAAAATGATTTGCATAAGCTGATTTCTCTATCAGAAAGCCTTATCCTTTCAGACCAACCAAAATTTTTTCATTATTTGATTGCATATTTGCACATGGAGATAATTTAATTTCGTTCACTTTAATAGAAGAAAATTTTATAATTTTGTTATCCTCTAAAATTTGTAAGTTTATCTTATAACATAAAATTTTAGTCACGGTATCGATTGTCCTTTGATTATAAAATGATTTCCAGGATAATTGATCCGAGTTATTTAATTATTTTAAGAATGAATCAAGAACATGTGTTAGATTGACAAATAACGTTTAGAGGGTGTTTTTTCAAAAATAAAAAAATGCCCTTCGCATAGTTATGCATAAAAATACAACATAAATTATTGAACGCTCTCTTCTGAAAAATGTCGCCGGTCGCCGGAGTAAATGCACCACTGCTTTCTGATAGCAGAAAGTTGCCGACAAAGTCTCCATCGGTATCCAGCGCGGTGTTTAATGTGTCCACAAGCATTATTGGTGCTGGGATAATGTCAATCCCTGCAACACTCAAGGTGTTAGGTGTAATTCCAGCGTTTGTGATGATTGCGGCCATAGCTTGGCCAGCAGAGAGATCAGTTGAGTTTTTGATGAGATACACCCGTGCCGGGGACACAACGACGTATGCCGGTGTCCTAAGGAAGTCGTTCGGGAAGGTCGGATCGGTCCTGGTGCAAATATGTGTCATGATCACTAATCTTGGGTGCCTCATCATTTATTTGATCATCATAGGTAAGTATTGGATTCACCGTGTTCTTCACTGATGTGATCTTTATGTTATATGCTTCGTCTATATGATCATGTGTCGGTTCCGATATTGTTTGTTCCGATCTTTGAGAACACGTTTTTGTTCCCTCAGGGGATGTTCTATCAGGGAATCAACCTGAAGGATCAGTTCACTTGGGTGTCCTGCAACAATGGTTCGGCATTCATTGGTGGAATTCGCGTGCTTTCGCGCTCCTCTTCACCCTTGGCTTTGTTCTGCTTCCGTTGGTTATGTTCAAGCGCGTAGGTCGGTATGCTCAAAACGCCTTTTCGTCTCTATAATCCTCCTAGTGGCCTAAGGACTAAGCTTTAGTGTGCTTAATTTGCAGAATCATTCAGGTTCAGTTCTGCAATATCAGTTTTTCTAGCTGTGGTGTTCGTTGGCATAAGATCGGTTATGGCGATCATGGCTCTTTTCGAAGGGAAAACGAATAGTCCGAGACTGGTACCAGAATTGGACGACAAAGCTTCTTTCTTTTAACTCTTCACTGCTGTCCCGGTCATTGTCACAGCTTTCACATTTCATTTCAATGGTGAGTACACTTTGGCCTACTTGGTTGTATTTGTCACAAAATGTGCTGAAATCTACTTCATCGGAGTCTTCGGTTACATTCTGTTTGGTGATTCAATGATGGCAGATATACTCGTAAACTTCGATCAAAACTCCGATTCAGCGATCGGATCATTTCTCAACGACATTATTCGATTGAGCTACGCATTGCACCTCATGCTGGTGTTCCCTTTTTTAAACTTCTCGTTGAGAGCCAACATGGATGAATTTCTATTCCTAAACAAGACTCCCCGGCAAAAGATACACCAGTTTTATTTGCATTACACTTGTTCTTCTAGCCTTCAGTTACATGGCGGCCATATCCATTCCTAACATATGGTACTTCTTTCAGTTCATGGGATCGATGTCCGCCGTCTCCCTCGGGTTTATCTTCCCGGGCGCCGTCGCTCTTAGGTAGTCTCTCAATTCATGCACTTTCATGGAACCTCTGCAAACTGTTTACATACATAGATACACATATGCATAGTGTTTTACTTTGTTATCCATTACAGGGATGCTTGGGGCATATCGACGGCGAGGGATCGGATTTTGGCGGCAGTGATGATCGTTCTGACAGTAGTAACAAGCATAATCGCCATTTCTACCAACATATATAGCTTCTTCACGGGAACTGGGTCATGAATCATGATGTTCCCTGGTGTATTCTTTCTTTTTGTTGTTTGATTCATTAAAAGCACTTGCATACTTGAATTTTCGAATATTATTCGAATTATTTGAAATATAATTAAATTAATGTACGATCAATTCAAATAATTTACGATATTTTTTAATTATATTACAATGCAAAATTATTGATTTTTTTACTAACCCGATATAAATATTAAGCATATTTAGTATGTGTAAAAGTATAAGATTAAAGTGCAATATATATATATATATTATTTTGTTAATTTGATTATATGAATATGTTTAATTTATTTTTATGTATATATTATATGTAGATATATTAAAAGTAGGGGTGTGCAAATCCGGAACTTCCGGGACGACGATTTCTCGGTCCGTGTCCCGACCCGGATGTTACGGGTATCCGGTAATCGGGTACCCGGATTTTACGGGTACCCGGTAATCGGATACCCGATACCCGATTTTTAATTTTTTATTTTCAAATTATTAATTTAAAAAAATATATACAGAAATTTAAATGTTCAAAACTTCGAATTACATACTCTAATATCCGAACATAAAATTTAAAAGTTCAAAATACAAAATATAATAATCCATAATATAAATAATTCATTATATTTTATATAATTATATATAAAAAAATAAAAAAAATAAAAACTAACCGGGTAATTTTGTGACCCGGCCGGGTAATTTTTTTTAGAGAATTACCCGGTTTTTTTATATCCGGGTCGGCGGGTCGAGTCAACCGAGTCGGGTAATTTTGCACACCCCTAATTAAAAGTATATTAATGTTAGTATGTAGATATATTATATGTATATATTAGGTATAATATTTAATAAATTATACTATATAATATTTGAATTAAATAATAAAATTTAGATATTCATGAAACCATGTTAACTTCAATATGAATTATATAATAAAGGGGGTTATATATATGTTTTGACATATTTATATCCTTAAATAAGTGAGATATAATTAAATCCTATATAAAAAAGACTTTAAATCTGATCATAAAAATAATTAAATAATTTGCCTATGTTTAATTACATTGTCATTTTGACTAAATGTATGTATAAGCTATTAAAATAATTAAAATTATCATTAGATTTTTGGTTAAAATTGTGTTAATAAATAGAATAGTAGATTTAGGCGTAACAAGAAGAAAGAGAGAGTCAGATTTTTTTCGATGAAAATATTTAAGAATTTAAAAAATTTAATTATTTATAATTTATGGTATTTTTATTTTTTTAATTTTTAATAATTTAATTTTTATTTTGTTTTAATATTTTTATATATTTTTAATATTTGGAGAGATATAGCATCATATAGCCCAAATTTTACGAAGGTACAAATTTTGGCCTATTATTAACGCAAATGCACATCAGCGCAGGGTACCTGATGCCTAATAAAATACGAACGTCGTCGTTTCAAAAGCTGCTGTGAAATTTGTTTTCCCTTGACCATCTATTGAGAAAACCCTAAACCAAGAAACCCTAAACCCTGCAAAATCTGGTGGGCAGTCTCTTCGCTTACAACTAAATAAAAAAATATGTTGAGAAGAAATATACGATTGAGGAGAGAGTATTTGTACAGGAAGAGCTTGGAAGGCAAAGAGCGTTTGCTTTATGAGAAGAAACGCAAGATCAAAGAAGCCCTTGATGGTACTATTAAATTTTCTATTTTTTTAATCATAATTTTATTTCAATTTTTCATTTTTTTAATTTTGTTTCGTTGCAGAAGGAAAACCCATTCCGACTGAGCTCCGCAATGAGGAGGCCGCGCTTCGCCAAGAAATTGACCTTGAAGATAATTACACCGCCGGTAATGTTTATTTTTATTTTGTTATTTTTTTTGAACTTTTGTTATGCTCTGAGCTAAAGGAAAAAAACCCCTTTTTCATATTTTTAGCTTTTTTTGGGGATTGGTGCTGATATATAATTGTTTAATTTTGGTGGATTTTAGTTCCCAAATCTCATATCGATGATGAGTATGCAAATGCAACCGTACGAGACCCTAAGATTTTGCTGACAACATCTCGGGATCCAAGTGCTCCTCTTGTACAGTTTGTTAAGGTTGGTTTGTCTATTTTGGTGATGAATACAATTTTCCTTGATACTTTGGGTGTGAGTTTAATCACGAATTTGGTTTCCTATGGAGTGATTCTTGTAGGAATTGAAGTTCGTCTTTCCCAATGCGGAGCGAATGAATCGTGGTGGTCAGGTGAATGCGGCATTGCATTGTTTCCATCCATGCTTTCTTCCTTGGGTTCCTATCGGTTGTCTTATTGTTATGATGCTTGTTTTGAATTGTTGGCAAGGGTTTGTTCTTGATGTCGAGGATATAAGATAGAAGTTCTATCACTTGCGCAATTGGTTTTATTATCAGCAACTTTGCTTAAGTCATGTTCAGTGGTTAAGTTGAACATTCCGTCTAACCGAGCTTTTCCTTGAACCATTGCACCATTAGACTTCTTGATGCAATTTTGTCTGGGCTAGCTTTGGAGCTACACTTTTCTCCACATAATGAACACCAACACCCCTATTTAACACCCATTTATTTACTTGACATCAAGCTGGTTTTCTAGTGAGATTTAGAAAGTGATTATTTACCCCCCCTTTCTTATTTGCAGGTTATATCTGAAATTATTGAAAGTTGCCGGGCACATGAATTTACTGATGTTATTTTGGTTCATGAACATCGGGGTATACCAGACGGTTTGATCATAAGTCATCTACCTTTCGGTCCCACTGCATACTTTGGTTTACTCAATGTGGCAAGTATTTGATGACTCTAGCCTACGCAGACGTTTACTTGGTCTTCTATTTCTATGCTTGCTTTCTTAATCTAAATATCCTTCTAGGTTACAAGACATGACATTAAGGACAAGAAAGCCATGGGAACAATGCCTGAAGCTTACCCACATTTGATTCTTGACAATTTTAAAACCAAGGTATTGTTATCACTTTATATGCATCATATTTACGAAGTATATGATGCAGTTGGGTACAATGTATATATGTGCATACCTGAACCTTTTGGGGTTATTTCTTTTAATGGTTTTAATATGCCACTTGTGTCTAATAGCTGATTATGTAACGAGGCCTGGTTTGTGCTCAAAGATCCTTACGGGTGACATTCTTTTTCAATTTCTTTTGCCAGCTCGGTGAAAGGACAGCAAACATTCTAAAACATTTATTCCCAGTGCCAAAGCCTGATACAAAGCGTATCGTGACTTTTGCTAATCGGTCTGACTATATTTCATTCAGGTTGGTTCTCTTGTAAATTTTGTTGCATTCATAAGCTTTAAAAGGGAGATACTGATAACATTAACCGATGATAAAATCAGTCGATAACTTGTTGAAACCTTGAAGTGAGTCACTGGATAATATAATCATGACAGATTGTTCTGCCTCTTGTTTCAATGTAATAAAATGTTCACTCATTGATAGCATGTAAACACGCAGACATCACATCTACGAGAAACCTGGAGGTCCGAAATCAGTCGAGTTAAAGGAAATTGGTCCGAGGTTTGAATTGCGGCTTTATCAGGCAAGTATCATGCCATATCGACGAAATCATCAGGTGCTTTGTATGGCGGTTTAAATCCAACCGACTTGCTCATGTTGCAGGTAAAATTAGGAACAATGGAGCAGAGTGAAGCTCAGGTCGAATGGGTTATCAGACCTTACATGAACACGACCAAGAAACGAAACTTCATCGGAAACGACCAAGAATCAGATGATAAAAGAAAGAAAATTAAAGCTTAAGCTTTGTACCCTGAAACATTTCATATCCTTATGATTATGTTGTTTTATTTAGGCTTTCTTTTATGTCTCTAAGGTTGTTTGAATTATGAATATTTCATGTCAAATTTTATTTACAGAAACAGGTTACGTTATCAAGGATTACATGTAACTAACCTTTTCTCAGTTCTTCCAGGGCTAGTTTCCCATATATATATATATATATATATATATAAAACAAGACTATAAATTTGACATGTACTAATCAACAATTTCTAATATTGTTTTGAAAGTAAGGCTCATTTTAATCATCATTTTTATTATTTTTTAAAATTGTCCAATCATGGTTGTATGTGTGTTCTTGTCAATTTTTTTAAAACCGGACCGGATATTGAACCGGTGAAGGTACTGGTTCAACCGGGTTCAATCGCGGTTGAATCGGATTTTATATAAAATAATTTTTTTTAATTTTACATAATATTCAAAGCAATATTAATATATATGTAATATTTTTTTTTAAGTTTACAATATTAAAAGGTATAAAAATATCACAAGTCATAACATATATAAATTAAAAACCATAAAATTAAGTGAAACAAAATGATTCAAATCAACTACAACATAATATTTAAGGTAAAACATATTAAATAATAAATATAATTATATAACTATAATCAAAAAAATAAAATTGGGGCTTAAAAAATCATAACAAATGATGTCATTTGGTTTAATTTTTTTTTAAAAAAAACAATCTCACATGGCTAAGAAACATAGAAGAGCATCCCAAAAGTTTAAAGAGTAAAAATATGAGAACAAAACAATCCCACATGACTAAGAAACATAGAAGAGCATTCCAACTTACTTCTATAAATAATAGAGATAATTTGACATTCAAAATCATGGAGCCTTTTGGTGAGCACAGAGCAAACTATTATTTCGCTTCAATTGAGCTCAAATTTTAGGCTTCAATCGAACTTCTAAATTTTTTTTGAGTTTGAGCCTTTTCGAGTTCAAGTTTTAATATTATATTTTGAGTTCGAGTTGAACTTGATAATTTTTAGCTCGTGAGTTTTTGAGTCGAGTTGAGCTTACTTTTAAAGTTTTTGAGTTTGAGTCAAGCTCAATAATACTTGAATTTGACTTGGCTCATTGAACAAACGACGTTGTTTGGTTTAATTTTTTTTTAAAAAGAAAAAAAGTGAACCGACAGTTCAAATCAATTTTCAGCCGGTTCACCCCGATTTTACCGATTTTTAACTGGTTCATTGTCAGGCCGGTTTTGTGAGGTAACCGAACCGGACAAGCCGATTTTGATAACCATGGTTCTTGTACTAATTAACCACAACGCATATGTTTTTTTATTAAATTAATATAATTTTAATAGAATATTAAATTTAATCATCCATGTTTATTTATTATATTAATTTAATCATATTTTGTAAGATAATTTATAAATTTCATCACTAAATTTTACTCTGAACTTTAAAATTTTTCAATTTTCTCTTTAAACTTAATACATTAGTTGTTTTTGTCATTCTGTCGTTAAATAGTTAACAACTTCAAAACAATGTCATTTAAAAAAAAATTCACCAAAATAATATCGTTATCTATATAAAAGTCTATTTATGACACTGTTAGTGAGAAAACTTTTGTTCATAATTCTTTTTAATTATTAGCAATACATATTATGCAAAATAAAATATTTAAATCTAAAACTTTTGAAAGATAATTTTCTCTTTTACTACTGAATTCGTTTAATGAATTCATTTTAATCACAAATTTTAAAAAAAAGTATGATATCATCATTTTCTCTTCAAGTCTATGATGTCAACATTTCAACAAGAAGATAAGACGAAACTTTCCCAATTAAAGCAATATTTTCAAAGAGATGATTCCACCGCACACTAAAAAGCATTTAGCGGTTTGGTTCCACAAAAATCCAAAGTAACTCCAAAACATACGTTTTTGAAAGTTAACCTGCAATTTATGCGTTGACTCACTGAGTTGTTCACCATGTGAAAAATAACCATCTTTTGCTAAATAGATAAATGCAACCCTCCCTGTCTCCATCCCTACTTAATCAGCACCTCCCATGCAAATTTAAACCTTTCTGCAGAATTAGAAAACTTGCCTTTTTTTGCTGGTATAAATAGCACCCCACTGTCATTGTATTTGTCCCCTTCATATTCTCATCTTTCTCTCTCTATTTCCCGTCATCATCACATCATTCATTCCCCATTTTCAAAATGGGATTTTTTTTCAAGCTATTGCCACCTTTGTTGTCATCTTCTCGTGGTTATCTGCTAATGGCAATAGCTTTGATTTGAGGGGGGGAAAAAAGGAGACCAAGTGCAATATGTACCGAGGGAAATGGGTGTATGATGAGTCTTTTCCTCTCCACAACTCATTGGCATGTCCTTCTATCCGCAAGGAATTCGATTGCCTCAAGTATGGCCACCCCGATCATTTCTCCCTTAAGTATAGATGACAGCCGAGCAATTGCCAGTTGCCGAGGTACTTTGCTCTCTACATCTTATATACGTGAGAGTTCTATGTGTCGTCTACGTTAATCATGAGTGTTCTATGTACTCATTTAAGGTTTAATTAAAATTTTATACTCGTATCGAACATGTATTCATATTCGGTACTCGTTCTCGAATCGAAGTGATGGATGGATAGTAGTGTAATGCATACCCCAATGATTCTGGGATTTGAAATGCACCAACCTTAGACCATGTGCTCTCATTCTCATACACTGCAATCTATGAATTAAATAGTTTCCTGTTTGCAATTCCAACAGGTTTGATGGAGAGTCATTTTTGAAGAGATTCAGTGGGAAAAAGATAATGTTTATTGGGGATTCCCTAAGTCTAAACATTTGGCAATCGTTGGTATGCATGCTTTATGCTGCAGTGCCGAATTCCAACATAATCAGACAAGAGTTGAACACCACCACCATTTCTTCCGTTAAATTCCAGGTAACCTGCAAAAAGAATCCGACAAGTAGATTAACTATGTAAGAATATGTGATTAAAATAATGTTTCACGTGATTCATTGATTTATCAGGATTCACTGTACTTGGTGGACGTTGACGGGGAAAAGATCGGCAGAGTTCTGAATCTGAACTCAATGAGGAATGGGAATCTATGGAAGAACATTGATGTTTTAGTTTTCAACACTTGGTTATGGTGGTACCTTAGAGAACCGAAGCAACAGTAACAGCCTTTGCATCGAAACTCGAGCATGATTAGCTAGCTTTAACAGCAGGAACTGAAACAAATTCTGTGATTGTGTTTGTTAAATTGCAGGTGGGATTATATTAAAGTGGAAGGGAAGATTGTGAAAGACATGGATCGAATAGTTGCATTTAAGACAGCTTTGACAACATGGGCTAAATGGGTTGATTCAGATGTGGAAACTGATAAAACTAGAGTTATATTTCAAGGGATCTCTCCTTCACACTACCAGTGAGACTACCTTTTCCTTTTGAAAACTTTATTAGCCAATGGTACTCGACTTCGGTCGTATCCGAACACTTGTTTGACTGACTATATTCATATGAAACTATGTCTCAGTGGTTCGGACTGGGGCGAGCTGGCATATGAAACTATGTCTCAGTGGTTCGGACAGGGGCGAGCTGGGAGTGACGAATTGCTTGAAGGAGATGAGACCATTCAACGGAACAATTTATCCAGCAGGGTTGCCTGAGGCAGTGTATGTGGTTAAAGAGGTGATAAGTGGGATCAAGAAGCCAGTTCATTTGTTGGACATCACAGCATTGTCACAACGGAGAAAAGATGCGCACTTGCACCCATTGGTGTGTGGCTGGCCTTACAGATACTTGGAGTGAACTTTTGTAGGCAGCTCTCCTTTGTTTTTAGCAGATTAAAGTTGAGTGAGAAGAAATAGAGGCAGTATAAATTTATTGTTAGAAACATTAAAGAAAAATAAATACTGAAGGATACTCTCCAAAAGCATACCTTATAATAAATATAACATGTATGCACAAGAATACAATAGTGTATGTTCTATGTTTTGTATACATGCATAATTCCTCTATACCTAATAGGACAGTGTTCTTAACTCGTGATAATAAGAAAACAAACAAAACAAAATCACTACTTAAGAACGATTATATATCAGTTGCGGTTAAAATTTCCATTTGAAGGTAAGGCGTGAAAGGCGGTTAAAGGGAAGGGAAAATCAGAGGTTGAATATTCACCGACGAGGTATAAAATGACAGCTTCTATGTTTGTTGGTAGAAGAGAACATATGCTTGTTCATGTAACACCTTGCTTGTCCCAATGGCAGTGACAGAGGCATCATCGAAGTGCAGCCATTGGCCGTTGGGATAACGAGCATCAGCAGTATAATGCCCCTTGGAGGGATCTCTTCCATGGTGGGTTATTGTAGCAACAAGTTCATATTTCCGGCCCTATAAATGAAGTACAGTAATAAAGGTTAAATATATAGAGCACTTGATTGCCAACAAAGCAGGCGGCAAAAAATAAACACGAATGCATCATTGTAGCAGATACTTAAGTAAAAGATGATTAAAAGTCGTTATCCATGATGTGAATTTGCAAATGTGAAAAAAAAGCAATGCACACATTCAAACTATTGAATGAAGAGAAGTATTACCTCGGTGGATGGAGAAAAAAGTAGTTCCCGACCCAATGTCAGCTCAAGAGGGAAGTGTACAGGCTTATGCAGCTTGGTACTCCCCTGGCTTCCATAGCTAAATCGCATCAGGTGCAAAATCATTATCTTCGAAAGTGTCTGTATCTTGACAGATTTTTTGGCAGTAACAACATCAGCCTGATGGATATGAACACAAGAAAATCCAATTTGTCATAAGCACATACAGGAAAGGATGAGACATAACAAAAACAAACACTCTTAAGATATATAAAAGTAAGGATATAGTAGCCAACAACAAAAGGAAACAATTAAAAGAAATAAATACCTTCCCAGCTGTTGATGCACGGTAACCCTCGAGATATTCTGGTGCTGAGAACAAATGAAGTGCATCCTCAATAGTATGAACAGCTTCAGGATGGATATCAAGGTGGAGCAATAGATATGGTTGAACAGTAGCAGAAGGTTTATTTCCTGCCCCAATAAGCAAATTAAGAAAAAGAATACAATGTTAATAAATAGTACCATGTCAACCGAACAGGATAGAAAATACACCCAAAAAACAAAGCTAACATCTGGATATGAAAGATGAAGACAACCAAGTTTGAATTTGTATAAGTATTTCCACTTTGTCCACAGATCAAAGCTAACATGCATCAATTGCTGTAAATATCTAGGTGACTTCACTATGTTAGTGTTTTAGCTTTTTTAATTAATTTCCTGGTAGCTGCAGTTGTAAAGTAAATAAAAGAAACACGGGTTTGCAAAACCCATAAAAATATGTAGCCAAACAAGTAACCATTTGAATTGCCTGCTTTCATATAATCCAATATGCTTTCCAGCTGTAGTAAACGTCCTTACCTTTAGCCTTCACCACACTTCTCAACTGTCCTCCAAAAATATCACTCAACTCCGATGGAAGGAAGCTTTGAGTTCTTGTGACAGCAGATTTGTTTTTTGGTCCAACAGTCTCCCATTCATCATCTTCTGCGGAAGAAACTAGTGATGACCTGACCCCATTTGAGCTACCGGACTGCCCTTGAAGCTTAACCAATTCATCATGCATTTGATCCATGATAAAACTTAGAAATTCCTGAGCATCTTCCTGCCTGAAGTGATTAGCAAAAATTATCACAACGTTATTTCATTAAATATGGTACATAGTTAATAGTTATCATACTGATTTTAAGAATATAAAAACATTTAAAATTTTAAACCAATCATAATTTCTTTTAAATAGTTATAGCATTTTGGAAATGATTAGTAAGAAATCAAGAGGGCCAGGGCTAGCATATATAAATATAGTAATAAGACTAATATAGAAAGCAGACAAACCTTGGCCTACCAGATATGCTATTTGGCACATCTGGAGTAAAGCTTTTAAGGACAGATTCAAACATGACAGGACTGAAAGGTCTACCAATCTCAAGGGCTGTTGTATCCTTCCTCTTCAAATTAGAATCGGTGGATGGCACATCAAAGTCGGATGCAAACGCAGCAAAAGAAGCTAATATTGGATAGCCAACCTATCAAATCAAAACCAACAAAACGCATCAGTTGGTTAAATCTATTGAGAAGTTCATATTTACTCACCTTGAGATGATCATTTATTAGAACATAAGTTCAAGGAAACAACGCAAGCATACAACACACCTTGGGTATATTACGAAGTCTAAGTTGCTGCAAGAGCTGGACAAAAGGAGAACAGGATAGGAGAGCCTGTAAAGTGGCATTGAGAAAGCATAAATTCCCAGAGTTAATCAAGCCACGGGGAGATAAGTTATTAACAAGTTTAATTTGATCCTCGGCTTCTTTTGCAATGTCTCCTTGAACAGAGCTTCTTAACGAAACATCGTTCATCCCATTCCCATTTTGATCTCCAATCTCTATAACTCCGTTCTCAAGAACATGAAATTTCGAACTCTGAGAACCATTCAAGGGACCACATTTATTATGGGATAATTGCAGTGGAGTTAAATCAATGCCTTCTGCATCCAGCTGTTTTATGCCATTGTTGAGGATACAGTTACTTCTGGAACTCTTAGCATTTTGAATTTCTTTTGGAGTTTGAAGTGCACTTGAGGAACAATCCGTAGTAGTTTTTCTACTTTTTACACCCTTAATTAGAGAAGTCGAGGATAAAGATTCAACTGGTCCATTCATGGAACTTGGCTTGTAGCTTAAATTACCATTGGTACTTCCCAAAGATCCTCCGTCAGCAAAATCGAAAGAACCAAATTGCAATTCCTTCTTTTCCACAGGCTTTTCAGATTTTCCAGGGGACTGCTTCGACAGCAATGACCTGGTTTCATCTTCAGTGAAGGATCCAAAAACAAATACCTGTTCAAACCAAGGAAAACAATAGAGCCACAGTTCTGATTAGAAGCATAGGCCAGTGATGGTTCAAGCATAACCGAAGCATATTAAGGCTTGTCATAGAAAAAGGAAAAGACATCCTCGTTTTCATCATTCATAAACAATCCAATTCCAACCAAATCATAATTGTTATGTAGGTAAACCCAACAATCAATCATCAAACAATTAAAAAAAACTTTAATTCTCTAAAATCCCAAACTTTTAAGTGTTTAACAAGGAAACAAAAATAAACCCATCACACGATTCAGGGGAAAGTTATATTACGTACATCTAACAAAAACCCAGATATAAAAGGGAGTGTAGGGGGAGGGACAAACCTTAGAATCAGTCATGTCTTATACAAAGGAGAAGTTTGAAAAGAAACAAGAGGTATAGAGCAAAGATCAAAGTCTAGGGCTTGGGAGAACCCTGAATGTGCAGAGAATAAAGAGGGAGAAGACATGAAAAAGGAAGAAAATTTGAAGGGGAGATATAGAGAGAGCATTTATCGGAAGGACCCTCTCTTTGATCCTCTTCAACTTCACCAAAACTCAGCATCAACCGGCTTTGAAATCCAACTCCGACGCGGAATCTAAATCCTTCTCCTTTTGGATTTCTAGGGTTACGGTTCTTTTACTTATTATTTTTGTTTAATGGCAGAGGGAAAAGGGGAGTGCTTGTCAATTGCAGATGGTGGCGGTGCTGTGGTGGTGGTGTTTTGCAAGGACTAGGACTCTAGGTTTATCATATAAGAAAGAGAATAAATAACTCTTAAAACATTTCATTAAAAAATTTATATACAATTCTTTCTATTTTATTTTTTTTCTAAAAATAATATTTTAATATATATGTTTTTACTTAAAATATTATATATTAATATTATGAAATTAGTATTATAGATTAATATTTTACTTTTATTAGTATTGAAAATCATATATTTGCACGAATCAAATGAATTCAATTTTAATAGATTTATTATTTTCTTCAAAAATTTTGAGTTCAGACACCGATAAAAATACAAATATTTATTGTAAAATATTATCTTGTATTCATCACAAATTTATAAAAAAAAAATTCACATATTACACTTCAAACCTAACTTAAGCAGTAAATGAATATATTTTTCAATAATAAACTAGATTTTACATAAAATAAAATATAAGGTATAATAAAAATACAATTTTAATATAAAAATTTAAAATGTTAAATAAAATAAAATAAAATTAAAACATTTCTTTAATATATGTTTTACTTTATTTAATAAATTAGTAACTGCACGAATTAAGTAGACTCCATGTTAAAAGAATTATTGTTATTCGTTGATAATATGTGTTCGAGCGATATTAATCATTTAAAATGATACTTTAAAAGAAAAATAGTAAATTACACATTTAGTAAACTATAAGTTTTGGTCCATTTTAGTATTTCAACTTTCATTTTTTCCAAAATCATGCCTAGCGTTTAGTTTTTATTTCATTTTAGTACCCCGCCATTAAAAACTTAACGTGTTTAGTATATAAGATATCAATTTTGGTCCCTTTTAATACATAAACTTTCAATTTTTTCAAAACTTAATGTTAAATTTTGAACGGAATACTAAAATAAAATAAAAACTAAACTTTAACCATGATTTTGAAAAAAATTTAAAAGTTTATGTACTAAAACGCGATAAAACTGATAGTTTAAATATTAAACACGTAATTTTCCCAAGAAAAATTAAAAAATATTAATTTAGGGGGAAAATAGAGTTTAGAATTAATTTAATTCAATCAATATTACAATAACTATATAGTACAAAAATAACACCAACGTAACACTAAGCTCAATTCATTTAAATTATCTAAAAAAAAGATTAATTCTTTTAATCATCTTGCATCCATGGTAGACATGGTTAGGCCGTTCACAGAGTAATTTTCCATCTCTTTGTCCATCACATTTTCTTCCACAATCCTACTTTCGGTGGAAAACGCAGGGTGTTTTGGCAACGGCAACTGCATTTCTCCGTTCAGTACTGAAATAACATCGGACATCGTCGGCCGATCGGATGGATTATCTTCCACACATAGCAGACCCAAAGTAATGCACCTTAAAACCTGGTATTGTTTAGGAGATGAACCACTTAAACTCGGATCCATTAGTTCTAATGCCGCACCATGTTTCCATAGTTCCCATGTCTGCAAACAACAATCATTTACATCATACATGGTGTTTGTTCGATATCGGTAAAGCATAGCTAAGCTAATTACTGTAAGAGCATGATATGAACTTACATATCCGACCAGGTTAAGTGGACGGTCGAACTCGAAACGGCTTCTGTTTTTGCGACCGCTGACGACTTCCAACACCATAACTCCGAAACTATAAACATCAGATTTTTCGGAGAATATGCCATCCATTGCATATTCTGGAGACATGTAGCCACTGCATTAACTCATCAAACTTAGAGTTAATAACCATGTTCTTGTTTGATAATATGATTGGTATATCAATTGTAACAACCAGGTTCCGGGACATGGTGACACCGGAAAACTCTGGTTGTTACAGAAAGTGTTCACTTACTATGTGCCGACGATCCGGTTCGTGTTTGTTCCGGCTTCATTTGTTTTGTAAATCCTCGCCATTCCAAAATCCGATATCTTGGGGTTCATGTTTTCGTCAAGCAATATGTTACTCAGCTTCAAATCTCTGTGAATGATTCTTAGTCTAGAGTATTTGTGAAGATAAAGTAGCCCTTGAGCTATCCCTTCAATGATGCTAAATCGCTTATCCCAATCTAATAGCTTCCGTTTCGATTCATCTGTCGGACAAAAAGTACTGGTTAAAACACATAACATTGAAACCGGCAACGGATTTCCGAGAAACGGTTAAAGAGTTGCTAACCAAAGATGAAGAAGTCCAAGCTTTTATTAGGCAAGTACTCATAGACAAGCATTTTCTCATCCCCTTGAACACAAAAGCCTAAGAGCCGCACAAGGTTTGTGTGTTGCAGTTTAGCTATAAGTATAAGCTCATTTTTGAACTCCACTAGCCCTTGTGTTGATCCTCTTGATAATCGCTTTATTGCCACTTCTTGTCCATCAACCAATGTTCCCTGATGATTAACAAGTTTTCAAATGTTAGAGACAGATTGATGAAGTAACTGTCAATAATTCACTAATTGGGATTGGCAGACACCTTGAAAACGGGTCCGAAGCCACCTTTTCCGAGCAAATTCTCCGGTGAGAAGCCATTTGTAGCAGACATAATCATTTCTGCTGTATATATGTTTATATTGTGGCCTTTGTTTCCAGTTTGAAGCTCCCTTATGTCACTTGCATCATCTGAAGTCATTAAGTCAAGTAGGAACTTCTCTGTTCAAAGCAAAGTTGAAGTTAGATCAAAGTTGCAAGTTTACATTAAATATCAAATGTTTTTCCTCCGTTTTAGTACCTTCCTCTCTAGCTCGGTGTCGTCTTCTCAAATAAAACACGGTCGAAAACAGTAGTATGATCGTTAAAGCCATTGCTAAAGAGATTACTATCCATATCCAAGTTCTCGACTCTGCAATCAATGTACAAAAACAGCAGTACCAATGAATTTGATTTTCTTTATACCATCCAATAGAATCAAAAGATGTTATACTTCGGAACATGAATGATGTTAAACTTACTCGGACGGTTGCGGATTATAACTTGGAATGATTGTCCATTCAACACACCTTCGTCGTAAGGCCCCGAAAGAAACTGGCAACCGAGGTCACTCATCACATTGACTCCCAAGCAATTGCAGTCATCCCAACATATGTCCTTACAGTCGTTTATGGAAAGATTGGTGTTCCCGAGTAGTGTATTGTCGAAAGAATCTATATGTGTAGGTCTTATCGATCTCACTTCGTACTTATCACCTTTGTATCTGCACTTTGGTCCCTCCCATCTCTCGCAACCGTACTCGGTGCTATCACCATCACATGCATTCAAACTGAACAAGAGTAACTGGTTTCCACTGTGTCTTAAACTACCGTCGAACAATAACCTGGCGTTTTTCCGAAGTTCTTCGGGTGTAAATCGATCAATGACAGGCGTATAATGAACATACTGCTCATTTGGATTAGAAACATAAGTGAAATTATAGTTCATGTTCAGTGGATCCAAGGGGTGCATCTTTTGAAAATCTCGCAAACCTTCACCAGTTGTCCACAAAATCCTCCCTCTAAGCCGAGCAACTAACTGATTTCCTACAGGATCCCATTTGAGCGTAAACGAACCAGACGCCGGGATCGAATCAGTCAACCAAGCTGTAAGTGACAGATTTCTCCCATGGCTGAACCCCAATCTCATCGGCTCAGGCAGGAAGGTGTCAGTCGGATGATCAAAGCTTTGCCACAATACTAAGTTCTCCCCATTCCCTACGTCTGTACCTTGCAAAACAAGATTCCCCGAATCAAGTAACACAAGGTTCATACCGGTACTGTTGATGGCCATAGAGGTAGATTGAAGTGAGAAAAGTTGGATCGGATCCCCACCAGTGCGATTAATCTTCAGTCCGGTATCGTCTACGATGAGAACTCCCGAGTCGTCTGCGATGGGATCGTCACGGTTGGCCAACCAGATCGAATGATTAAATACGTCCTCGGTGTACCACATAGACAAATAATATCCAAATTGTTTGTCATCCCATGTCCGACCATAATCCTGTCTGCGGAAGCCGAATCGAATAGCTCCATCTTGGGATACAAGAAAATCAGATGAATTGAGCTGATCACCATGGCTAAGCATGTTCGTTGCAGCTTCAGTTAACCAAAGGCATCCCAAAACCAGGACCAGAACTCGGAAACTAAACATTTTTTTGGTTAAGACAAGGACGATGAATACGGAAGCTATGGCCTAAGCTGACAGAAACCATTAATTTATTCGGTTTGGTTTGGATTTCATTGTGTTCTTCATGTTTTTGACTTTTCTCTGTCATTCCGTGTTGATTATATAATCATGTTACGGAATAGAAGCAGCCGTCTTTGACTCGTTCTACGCAGTGATGAAGAAGATATTATTTTCGAACTTGAAGATATTCCTACGTAACCAATCAAATCTATTTAATAAACGTACGTTTATGCGTAAAACCAATAGTATTTTAAAATGATGTTATTTAGACCCGAAATACTTAGGATGGGCATGGGTCGAGTTTGGGTCAACCCGACCCGAAAATTACAATCTTCCACCCGATTTGAAAAATATACAACCTCTATATGATTCAAATTTGATCTAATTTTTTAAGATAAAATTCGAATATGACCTAAAATAATATATTTATTAAAAATATTATTTTTATTCAATAAAAATAAGGATTTAATTGAAAAATATATATCAAAGGGTATTATTGTAATTATCTCTAAATATATAACGTAAAATTATATTGTTTCGGGTCAAATTGAATATTTTTCACCCTAAACCCGAACATGATCCGACCCGAACCCAATTTTTTTTTAAAACAACCCAACCCAACGGGTTCAAGTCCCGTGCTCATCCCTAATAATACTCCACTCACTCAATCTAGGGTGTTCACTGAACTGACTGAACCGAACTTGCTAAAATTTATTAATCGATTTTTTCTCTTTAATTGTTAACCAAACCAAAAAAAAAATTCAATTATTAGTTGAACCGAACAAAATTTGGTTAATTGGTCGATTAATCGAATTAATCGAAATATATAAATAATACTATGTATATTATATAATAAAAATTTAATATTTTCAGTTAGTTTGATTTTTTAATTCGATTTAAATCAAAAAACACTCTTAAGTATAAATAATATATCTAATATATTAAATATTTAATAATTTTAATTAATTCAATTAATTAATCGATTTCAAACGAATTAACCTATAATCATAATTTAAGAAAATACGAACCTAAAATTAACTAATAGATTAACCGAAAAAAACTTTGATTCGATCAGTTAAACCCGAAGTTTGAACACCCCAAGTGCATCTAGTCTTCCCAAAGAACACCCGTACTTGTCTCTGATTGGAACGTGTGCTTGTCTAGTTCAAAAGAAATTGTCAAATTTTGCTTTCGGTGCAGCTGATGGCTACAGAAATTTATGACTGCTTTCACTTTCTAGGAAACGGAAAACTTGTTCCAAGTAAGGGATGAAGAAAATGCAAACCAGACAGACATCACTTAAACTCCATCCGGAACATGTTCAGCTTTCGAGTTGTGATACTAATTTTGGGATGTCTTCGGTTAACTGAAGCTGCAACCAACGTACTCAACCATGGTGATAAGCTTAATTCCAATTCATCTGATTATCTTGTATCCCGAAATGGAGCCGTCGCCTTAGGCTTCTGCAAACAAGAGTATGGTCAGACTTGGGATGGCAAACAATTTGGATATTACTTGGCTATGTGGTACACTGAAGACAAGTCAAACCGCTCGATCTGGTTGGCTAACCGAGACGATCCGATCGCAGACGACTCGGGAGTTCTCATCGTAGACACTACCGGACTTAAAATTACTCGCACCGGTGAGAATCCTATCAGACTTTTCTCACTTCAATCTACCTCTATCACCATTAACAGTTCAGATACCAAGCTTGTCTTGCAAGATACGGGCAATCTTGTTTTGCAAGGTACAAACAAAGTATTGTGGCAAAGCTTTGATTATCCAACTAACACTTTCCTGCCTGGGATGAAATTGGGTGTCAGCCATGGGGCAAGGTTGTCACTGACTTCTTGGTTAACCAGATCGATCCCGGCGTCTGGATCGTTTACCCTGGAATGGGATCCTATAGGAAACCGATTAGTTGTTCAGCTTAGAGAGAGGGTTTTATGGACTACCGGTGAAGGTTTTAGAAATATTCCCCCTTTGGATCCATTGAGCATGAACTATAATTTCACTCATGTTTCTAATCCAAATGAGCAATATCTCTATTATACGCTTGCCATTAGTCAATTTACTCCTGAAGAACGTAGGAAAAATGCGAGGTTAGTGTTGTTTTACGATGGGAGTTTACTTGGAAGCAAGTTTGTCCTATTCGATTCGAAAACCTGTGCTGGTGATAGAACAGATAATGGTTGCGATCGATGGGAAGGAACGAAGTGCAGAAACAAAGGTGATAAGTTTGAAATAAGGTCCGTAAGATATCCACATACAGACTCTTTAAACAATACGCTATTGGGAAACATCAGTCTTTCCATAAACGATTGTAAGGACCTGTGTTGGAAAGACTGCAATTGTTTGGGAGTCAATGCCATGATGGACCTTGGTTGTCAGTTTCTTTCTGGACCTTACCAAGAAGGTGGGCTGGAAGCTACTTCATATCAAGTTATAATTCGCAACGGTTCGAGTAAGTTTAATACCGCTCGCAGCTTGCTCATGTTTCGATCTATAAACATCTTTCTATTCTGTTGGATGGTATAAAAAAAACTAAATTCATGCATTGATTGCAGGGTCTAAAACTTGGATATGGATTTTAATGTCTATAGCAATGGCTCTAACCATTGTAGTACTGTTTTCGACGGTGTTTTATTTGAGAAGACGACAGCGATCTAGAGAGGAAGGTACTAAAACGGATGAAAACCTTTTGATTTTTTATGTAAACTTGCAACTTTTATCTGAACTTCAACTTCGGTTTAAACAGAGATGTTCCTACTTGACTTAATGACTTCGGACAACACAAGTGACATAAGGGAGCTTCAAACCGGAAACAAAGGTCACAATCTAGACATATATACGGCACAAATGATTATGTCTGCTACAAATGGCTTCTCACCGGAGAATTTGCTCGGAAAAGGTGGCTTCGGACCCGTTTTCAAGGTGTCTGCCAATCCCCATTAGTGAATTATTGACAGTTACTTCATCAATCTGTCTCTAACATTTGAAAACTTGTTTAATCATTAGGGAACATTTCGTGATGGAATAGAAGTGGCAATAAAGAGATTATCAAGAGGATCAACACAAGGGCTAGTGGAGTTCAAAAATGAGCTTATACTTATAGCTAAACTGCAACACACAAACCTTGTGCGGCTCTTAGGCTTTTGTGTTCAAGGGGATGAGAAAATGCTTGTCTATGAGTACTTGCCTAATAAAAGCTTGGACTCCTTCATCTTTGGTTAGCAACTCTTTAACCGTTTCTCGGAAAGCCGTTGCCGGTTTCAATGTTATGTGTTTTAACCAGTACTTTTTGTCTGACAGATGAATCGAAACGGAAGCTATTAGATTGGGATAAGCGATTTAGCATCATTGAAGGGATAGCTCAAGGACTACTTTATCTTCACAAATACTCGAGACTAAGAATCATTCACAGAGATTTGAAGCTGAGTAACATATTGCTTGACGAAAACATGAACCCCAAGATATCGGATTTTGGAATGGCGAGGATTTACAAAACAAATGAAGCCGGAACAAACACGAACCGGATCGTCGGCACATAGTAAGTGAACACTTTCTGTAACAACCAGAGTTTTTCCGGTGTCACCATGTCCCGGAACCTGGTTGTTACAATTGATATACCAATATATTACCAAACAAGAACATGGTTATCAACTCTAAGTTTGATGAATTAATGCAGTGGCTACATGTCTCCAGAATATGCAATGGATGGCATATTCTCCGAAAAATCTGATGTTTATAGTTTCGGAGTTATGGTGTTGGAAGTCGTCAGCGGTCGGAAAAACAGAAGCCGTTTCGAGTTCGACCGTCCACTTAACCTGGTTGGATATGTAAGTTCATATCATGATCTTACAGTAATTAGCTTAGCTATGCTTTACCGATATCGAACAAACACCATGTCTGATGTAAATGGTTGTTATTTGCAGGCATGGGAACTATGGAAACATGGTGCGGCATTAGAACTAATGGATACGAGTTTAAGTGGTTCATCTCCTAAACAATACCAGGTTTTAAGGTGCATTACTTTGGGTCTGCTATGTGTGGAAGATAATCCATCCGATCGGCCGACGATGTCCGATGTTATTTCAGTGCTGAACGGAGAAATGCAGTTGCCGTTGCCAAAACACCCTGCGTTTTCCACCGAAAGTAGGATTGTGGAAGAAAATGTGATGGACAAAGAGATGGAAAATTACTCTGTGAACGGCCTAACCATGTCTACCATGGATGCAAGATGATTAAAAGAATTAATATCAGTTTTGTGTTCATGTTTTTTATCATATCTTTTGATAAAAAAGAGCTGAATTACAGGATTCAGATGAAGGACTAAATGTTTCTTTTGTGTTGGTTCTTGTAATCATACTACTACACCAACATGTGAAATTCAATCAATATGGTTTTGATGCATCAAAGTTAAAGTTACAATGTTGTAGCTTTCAACTTTATTTTCCTGTTGCAGAAAAAGAAAAAGATGCGACTTACTATCGTTCTTAGCAACATTGACTAGCTTCTCTCTTACGACATAGAGCCTTGATCTTCAAGCCTTAACATGGCTCGTGCCGGTTTTCTCGTAGTTTCGCGCATGTATTCGTAGAGTCTTGAAGAAAAAATGAAGAGTCGGAACAACATAGACTTTGTTAAAAAGATGTCATAGTGCTTCTGAAACACCTTAAAATAGTCCATTATCTGAAACACCCTATTATAAGTGATGGTGATATTTCATAGTTCATTCCTTGAACATCTGGACCCTTTCACAGCTGTAATTTCCTTCCACAACACAATGCTGCTTTGTTTTCTTATAATATTCTCTCATCCCAACGATCAATAGTCCCCACTGCCTTCAATAATGCCACTATGTATGTCATATGCATATGCTGGTAAGTGGAATCCATTGAATGTCCTCGGTGGTAAAAAAGAATGTTGTTTTCCCTAGAGGATCTAAATTCGGCGGTAAAAAAGAATATTGTTTTTGAATCTAAATTCGAGCAGCGGTATCTCTAGGGGTAACTAAGTAATTTTACTCCCAACAGATATGTCATACAATGGTTAACTAGGAAGGCCCACAACTTTGAACAGATGAAAACGTGAAAAATATAGAAAACTAAGAATCATTGGACAGATCTTTATTTGTACACATGGCTAGATTTTAATCTACTTTTGGGTGTTTGTGGCTTCAGTTTTTCAAGGGAAAATACCTGGGTTTCTTCAGTTTTATCTCATGAACATCCCTTCATCCCCACTTTTCTTGGTATTTGGTATAAAAATAAACAATGGCTAAGAAGAACTGGTTCAGTCTTGTGAAGAGGTTCTTCCTCTTTGAGACAATTGCAAAAACAGAAAAGGTAACTCTTTTTCCATTCACTGATGTTCCCCAGTGTTTTTAATATGTAAATTATCCCTTATGTCATCTGTTCTCAGAAGGAGAAAAGGAGGAAATGGATGTTCGGAAGGTCAAGAACCAAAAGGTTGACAGCACCAACAAAGGATGAGCATACCGTGGCCGAAGAACCGGTTTCAGCCGAGATTGCTCTGCTCACCGATACCCTTCAACCCGAGCATATATGTGATGAACAATCCAAGAATGTTCAACCTGATTCCTCTTCATCTAATGAGCATATGAAGAATATCCAAGAAGCTGCAGCCATAGAAATCCAGGCTACCTTTAGGGGCTACCTTGTAAGTTCTCTTGCTCCATCTTTCCTTTAGTTGTTTTCTAGTTTCTTGTAAGAAAACTGAGCTGACACAACAAAATTTGCATACTACTAACTTGTGCAGACAAGGAAAGCTCTGCGGGCGCTGAAGGGGATAGTGAGGCTTCAAGCAATCATCCGCGGAACGGCCGTGAGACGACAAGCGATGACTACTTTAAGATGCTTACAATCGATAGTGAACATTCAGTCTCAGGTTTTTGCAAAGAGAGGCACTAGGCAATATGATGAGACCAAACAGTTGCTGACATTGGAAGACAAAATAATTAAGGTATTTGCCAAACTCTTATGGCACAATTAGAGACCATTGATTTTGTCTTGATGAAATGTTAAATAAAATTGCAGGTGGACATAAACAGTCAAAGAAGATGGGATGATAGCATTTTGACAAAGGAGGAGGCAGATGCAATGGCTTTAAGCAAGAAAGAAGCTGCAATCAAAAGAGAAAGGATAAAAGAATACTCGTATGTTCATCGGGTAAAGGCTTCGAGTATCTGTCTTCAATTTTTTATTTTCCAAGTGCATTGTTCTAAGGGGTTTGAAAAGAAAATTGCAGAAGTCAGCTGAATCAGAGAAAAACAAGGGTAATGGAAGGTTAAAGTACTGGTTAGATGAATGGGTGGATACTCAAGTCGGTAAAAGTAAAGAACTCGGAGATTTGGACTCGATTTGGAATTCAAATCGCAAGCAGCCTACGGAAGGAAACAGAGCTAAACAGCTAAGGCTGAAGACTTCCCCAAGACAAGATCATTATAATTTGGAAGGATCGGATTCTCCGATGCTACAGTTTCCTCAAAGATCGATTCACAAGAAGCAGTCTTCTTTGGGAGAAGACCATTGTTTTTCAGCCTCTCCTGTAGTTCCAACATACATGGCCGCTACACAATCTGCAAAGGCCAAGGTAAGATCGATGAGTTCACTGAAGCTAAGGCCTCTGAGTTTCGATGCTCAGTCTGAAAGCTACTCACCATATAAGAGCAAACTGTGCCTTGTATCTTCAATTACAAGGACTAGTGCTTATCACCAGAGATCCCCTAGCCTAAATGGCATGTCGGGTCCTGTGAAATCGAAGCAAACCTTAACGGATCTTCGCTTGAACTCCGAGTGTTTGTTGCGTAGTTGGGTGCAAGAAAGCACCTTTAGGTGATTGACTTTGAACACTAGATGCTACTTTGTGCTTAAACAATTGAATGAATGAATCCAGTTTTAGTACTAAAATTGAGGATGTCTATCACCAGGATAATCAATGGAGGATCACAGTTTTTCGATTTATTTTTGTTAAACTGTTAAACTTAACAACCATATCTATTGCATCAATATCAATACTAAAGTATCAAGGAAGAAAACTTGATTAACAGTACTATTCAAAGTAATGCTTGTTAAACTCAACAGCTTAAAGAGAAACATAAAAGATGAACCCTTTCCATCACTGGCAAACTACAGAGAATTGTTACTGGTTGGCGGAACGGCTGCATACTGTCTATCCACGACATCGATGAGCTTGTTAGCTATGGCACTAGCATAAACAGACGAGCCTTCGTATATCTGCAAAATATACTTGAAACCGTCAAACATGCACCTATGGTGGGGAAAAAAAACATGTATGTATAAAGGAAATATTTCACCTTGGTGTTGAAGAGAAAGCTGTAATAGTCACCAATGTTTCCACCGGCAACATGGTGCAGATCCAGCTGAAGCTCATCGAGGAGTCTGGACACGAACAGCAAGCAATTGATCTTCTTCCTCTGCACAAGTTTGATGGTAACTTCGTCGTCGATGATGCGTACATTGACCTCGGAATCCTTCGACTTCCTTTGAAGCCAAGAACTCCTCAAAGAAGTGTTGTAGCATTGGTCTGGATCAGGCTTGATATCAACATCCCCTGCATCGGCAGCACTAGAAGCATCTTCAGCCTTGAGCCTCTTGCTCCTATCTTGGCCGCATCGCTTCTTTTCGACCAGTATTTTAAGCTCATGAACCGATCTAATAAGTTCTTTGATGTAGTCTATAGCATCTCCAACTATGGATGCTCTATCATTCTTGGTTGCATAGACAATGAAACACAATAACAAACACCAAAAGATTGAAACTTTTTTAGTGCAATTCATCATGAAAGAAACAAGCATTTTTAAGGAGAGGGTACCTTGGTGGGGCTAGGGACCATTGTCCTCAAAGCCTGGAACTTGTCATTTAGATGAACTCTCCTTTCTCTTTCGGTTGCAAAGTGTTTGGTTGTTTTGCCAGTTTTATCTCTGTCTTTGGTACGACCAGCCATGGAGATGTCCCTGGTGAACTCAATCATGCCATTGTCACCATCATGATAAAGACCACCGGCTCCAGCAGCATCTTTGTCTTCGGCCGGCACGGCGTAGCCATGCGGCAGAGATTGCAGCAACTCCATGAAAACAGGCGGCTGAGGGGGCAGATTGAGATGGAAAAGTGGGTCGTATACAACAGGGGGGGAGCCAGGTGTTGTTTCGAAGGAAATGAAGGAATTAGGGAGGAAAGAACATCTAGGTAAATGGAAAAGGCTGAGAAGGTCAGGCGTAGGAGTATAACCACCGCCTCCAGTGGCGGCAGCTTCAGCTGAAGAAGAAGAAGGGATCATATTGAAAGCTTCCCAATTGGACTGATCATAAGAAAGCTCCTGTGTTAGATAGGGAATCAAGTGAGCATTGCTGTTGTTGGTGGCGGTAGTATTATCAAGCAGATAGTGTTGGTGGGTTTCCATATCCATTGCGGCGGCGGCCGAGACATCCTCCTGGTGGTGGTGGTGGTAAGAAGAGAGATTGAGGTTGTCTTCCGAACTGTTGGTGGCCCCCGGCAAACCCATCAAGTCCTGAAAATCTGTGATGGAGTGGGGATCAAAGCAACCACTTTCCTCGTACACCTTCATTCATTTTTTTTCAGACAGCAACAAAACAAGATCAATAAATGTTTGTTTTTTTTAAAGTGAGAGAGAAGAAAGAAGTTATTGCAGAGATTTTGAGACAGAAATGGAAGAATTTGGTTGAAGCTGAGGATGTTTATATGTATGAATGTATTGACAGTGAAAGGGAGAGAGAGATGGTTTTGTTGATTGTTTCCTGCGTGCCTGACTGCCTGCCTGCAGCCCAACCAGGTTCACGCGATTTGCAGGGTAGTTTGGACATCTTAAATTCGAATAACAGCACCAACGAATGGAGTGATTTTTGTGATAAAAAAATATTTTTTTTTAAGATTTTGAATTTGAATATTATAAAAAATATTAGAGATATAAATGTCTAATATTATAAAGTTGAAGATTTAATTTTAAACATATATTAAATTTTAAATAATATCTACTAATAATTAAGTACGAAAACAAAATTTTATGCTGAAATATTATATTTTAAAATTTTATATGAAAATTTTATGTCCAAATATTATATTTTAAATTTCAATTTGATTTCCATCGGATTCATGCAAAGTTTGTGCCAACATTTTTTTAATATAAAATATATCAATGAAATTAAGAGTGAACAAAACTCGACTAGACTAGATTCGGGAAATCAAAATTTTCAACTTGAATGGGCTCGAAAAAACTTGACTTGAATTGATTTCGAGTTGTTTTTTTATAAACTCGACTCGAAATTTTTAATAATTAGTGAATTGATTTCAAGTTTGAGTCGAGTTTTCGAGTCTTTCGATTCTATATGATAAATGTATATCACATATAAAACAATATAGAGAAATATATATGTATTGTATATGGTTATAAAAACCATTTAAATTAGAATCAAATAATATCATAATATTATAAATATTTATAATTAAATTTAAACAGAAACTCAAAAATTCGACTCAATCGAAAAAATTTCGAGTCAACTTCGACTTATTAAATAAGACTCATCAACTCGAATAACTCAAATTTCTTGACTAGACTCGACTCGATGAAACACTCACCCCTGAATGAAATAACAATAATATAATTTTTTATAAAAATTAATATTTAAATTTGATAATTTATTAAATTTATACAAGTGTTGATCTTATATTCCAATATCTAATCGGTATTGACAAGTAAAGATGGTAATGTCGTTAAGTATCACGTATCATATTTAATTCAAGTACCAAAATAGGGGTGAGAAGATTGTTGAGTGATGAATGATGTAATTTATTTATAAAAAAAATACAGTGCCGTTAAGTTTTTCAGGGCGAGGTACTAAAATGAAACAAAAACTAAACGTTAGGTGTGGTTTTGAAAAATTAAAAGTTTAGTTACTAAAACGAATCAAAACTAATAATTTAAGTACTAAACACATAATTTACTCATATTTTTAATATACTAACTAATAATATATTGGACATAAAGTTGTTTCCAAAATTTAGATAATATAATAAAAATTGTTTCCAAAAGTTACGTATGATGAACGATTAACACCCTCCGAGTCGAAATTTAAAATGTGATCCTTTTATTGAAAATTGATCAATTTAATTCGAATTAATTATTTAAAACCTCACATTAAACATGAATCGAATATAAATACGTTTGACTTAAAACATTAAAATGTTATTCTACAGAAGGACACATCCATATCATCAATATAGACTAAAATAAATTAATGATCTATTTAATATACGTTAATTAAAACAATACTCGATTTATTCCAAGTTCACTTTTCGTTTGAACGTCGTATTGAATCGCACTACCTCTAGTAAATTGTGTTTTTCACGCCCATTCTACGAAAAGATATTCTTGAAAATTAATCCGAGTAATAAATGTTGAATAAATATTGGCAAATATAAAAAAGAGGAATTTAATAAGAGTTTAAATATGCATACGTGACTAAAAATAATTTATATACAAAATATAAAAAATAAAGTCAATAATATACATGTCTAAATCGAACAACCAAAATGAAAAAATTTAACCTAAATACATTTATGGGCAACCAAGGATTAAAATTAAAAAAAATGAAAAATAGCATGCTCAGTTCGAACAACAACAAACAAATTAAACGAGCACAGTTAATTTAAGGACTAAATCGAACTAAAATGAAATTAATAAAACGAAGTAAATAAACATAATAATTACACGGCATCCACGAAAATATCAGAAAATAGACAAAAGTTAACAATCAGTGACCTAAATATAAGCAAAATAAAACTAAGAACTCGAACCAAAATAAGATTTTCGATTGATGACCAAATATGGAATGATACAAAGTTATAGGGACCTAAAGTGAAATAAACCCACGCGCTATTCTACATCCCCAAAATGGCGTCGTATGGCGCCTGATATATGAGGCCGAAATTAGGCCAAAAAATGGCCTTATTTCTCATTTGTTATCTTCCTCTGTTTTTGCCAAAAATGGCCGAAATTAGTTTTTTTTTTACTTTTTTTATTCTTTATTCTTTATTTTGTTCTTTAGTTACTTATAAACTTGTGGTGTTATTAGCTATTTGTTTAGCATTTTTTTCAACATTAACCTACGAAATTATAATAAAATTATTTGTCTAGAATATCTTAATTATATTGGTTTTAGTTATTAAATTTTTAAATTGAAAGATTATATGTGTGAATTATATTAGAATATCAAATTTTGCTCTTTAATTTTTTAAATTTTATCAAAATATTCGATTTTAATTCTAATACCATTTTTGACATGTAAAATATAAAATTTAACAGAATATAAAAATATACATAATTTAGGTATCTAAAACATGAAAAAAAGGTTCTTTTTTTTATAAATATTCAATCAACAAATGAATAAATATTAGATCAGTCATTCATATTTCATGCAAACGCATATACGAGTAAAAAAAATTTAGATTTTGGGTCGGAATTTAGAAAATTAATATACAATATTTTTTAAAATAATTTAATATTTTTTAAAATAATATTAATTTTGAATCTATGGTTTCGATGATAAAAAAGTGTGGTGTCCTCTCTTAAATTCTCTAGTTCAAACAATTTGAATAAATACTACGTTATATTCATCGTGGACTATGATAAAAATGGTGTCAATTTTATTTTTAATATTTTTATACAAAATTTAGAAAAATTGAGAGATCAATTAATCTCTTTCCTTAATGTAACTCAATCATTACATTCGTATATAAAGATAAATTGAAATGGCATGAAATGGTCGTCTCTTGGAAAATTTAATTTTTTTTATAATTTAAATATTTTTTTATTAATAATTTATTTTTAATTCTTAACATTTTATATTCATAGAATTTTGTCTTGTTGATATATATAATCATACTTTTTATATAAAAAATGAAAAGCAAGTCCATTGACTAGGGATTTTGTGTAACAAATATTACTAATTATATATATATATATATATATATATATATATATATATATGAGCAAAGATTTCATCAAAAAACTAACAACCAGTTGGTCTAATGTAGGGATGGCAACTCAACCCGAACACAACGGGTTTCGACTCGACCCGATCGGGTCAGATCTTTTTTAAAAAAATTCAAGTTTGGGTCGGGTTTAGGGTGGAAAAAATCTGACCCGAAACGACCCGAAAAATATATATAATTTTACCCTATATATTTAGGGATAATTACAATAATACTCCTCTATATATCATTTTTTTAATTAAGTCATTGTTTTTATTGAATAAAAATATATATATATTTTATTTCGGTTCGGGTCAGGTCGGGTGAAACCTTAATTTCGTCAGGTCTGGTCGGGTTACGGGTGGAGGACCCTTTCTTCTCCGGTCGGGTGGCCCAAAAACCCGACCCGACCCAACCCATTGCCATCCCTAGTCTAGTGGGATGAGGCACTACGCCCCTTAAATAAGGTCATATGTTCGAATCTTGATGTTTAATGGAACAAACTAGGTTAGAAGGATCGCCCTCGCCTTTAAAGTACCCAATCTAAAATTTGGAAATTACATCAAAAAGAAGGGAACAAATGCTTTTGCCGTTTAATATACTCGGTCTTTCGTGTAGACATTCGTTGAATCAAAGTTAAATTGTTTATAAAGTATTATACATAATTAATTTAATTATGTATAATAAAAAAGAATTTATAGAAAAATTATAAAAGTTAAATTGGAATTCAACTCTCGTATATAAGAATTGAGCATTGTTTTATCTAGAACCGGTCGGATTATTGTCGAGTTTTTGGTCAACTCGATCTGACCCGAAAAATATATATTTTCGATTAGACTTATTTTTTAGAGTATAAATTCAACCTGATCTGACTCGATACAAATTAAATATTTAATTAAAAATAATAATTTTTTAAGAAAATTACATTATTATCATCGGGAAAGGTTGGGTCGGAATTTTTTCACCCTCCACCCAAACCCTACCAAAACCCAAAATTTCTTTTAAAAAATCCTATCCAATCGGTCGAAACCCATCAAATACGGGTGAAATTACCATCTCTGTTATATGGGCAATGAAGAAATAGGGTTTCTTGTTGCGATCCAACATTCATATCACTATTTTAATGAGAGGCCTCCATCACTAATCCATCATTGTCTCTGGTCCTCAACTTAGTAGAGACTACTACATCAGCACCGTGAATTACTACATCGATATCGTAATAGTTAACGACAATGAATGTTGGTCAAAGAAACATATTAAATTAGCGTGTCACATTGAGAAAACAAAATAATACGATTGTCACATTGGTTTTTGTTTTAAAGTACAAGGACTTCTGATGTGCTTTTATTTAAAGGAGGTTCCATAATATTAAATGTCAGGGGTAAATTATTTTTTTAGTCATCAAACTTTCAATATGTTTTTACTTTAATCATTCAATTATCAAAATGTTTAATGCAGTCAAAATTCTTTAACACCGTTTTAGTTTTATGGAAACATCCCCTAAAACTTTTTTCTCCCAATTTCTCACACTCATATCTTAAGCTTTCATTTGATTCATTGATGTTAGAGCATATTTTTTCTTAATCTCAATAATGAAAAGATGAATATTTTAATTATTGTCTTCCGAAATACTTAGAATTTAATTTAATAATTATTCTTTTATTTTTGTACTAATATTTATCTGATTAAGTTTAAAATTTATCTTTTTGGTAATTCAAAATGAATACATTTTTATTATGAGATTATCGAATTTTATATTATTTATAATATATAGTTTTTTTTAAATATTTAAATATAATAAGATAAAAAAAATTAATTGATCTTTATTCTCATATGTAATGGGATAAGGGGAGGTAATATAGTAGGTTACCCCAACTCTAGGTTGATAATAACTTCCATGGGAGACCTTCAAATTATAAAATATCTTCCGTAAAACTTAATCTCAAAATCTCAAGATTAAAAACCTTACGTTCTATTAATTGAGTTGAAGTTTCTTTTATAATAAGACAAAACTTCTACATATATCGTCCTTACTCGGTCGAGCAATCCTCAATCATTATTTTTGTTCTTTGAAGGTCACGCCTTTTCATTTTTTTTTCTGTTTCGAGTCGTCTCCCTCTTTTCAACTCTCAAGGTTTGAACAAAACCAACTTCTTCATTTCTGCTGATGAATCCCATTCTTGAGTACCCATTTTGTAATTTCATCTGAATTTATGAAAGGTTTGAGCTTTCCCATCACATGCTTTTTTCATTTGCATAAAACCGGCCTAGAAAAGAAAGGTCCAAATCGATGTTTACCTCGTTGAATAAAAGAGGTCCATCACTTTCCTTCTCTTTTTCTTTTGTTGGTTTTCTAGTAGTTTGGTAGATAGTACTAGATTGCCAAAGTAAGCTATCTGCCTGAGTTTTCAAAGTTTGATTTTGCCTTGTTGGATAACATACCATGTGGTTTATTGGTTGTTGCTTTTCACTCGGCCGACCTCCCAGAATTAGAAAGAAAGAAAATTTGGGGTCAAAGAGGGGCTAAAGATTTCATATTGAATTATTGTTGATTACTTGGTTTTGGTCTTTTCTAATTGACATGCATACAAAGCTTCACTTCGGATTTTGTTTACACATTGCAGGCCTACAGTTCTTGAATTAGAAGCCTAGGGTATTTGTTCTTACATTTAGTTTTAATCGAGAGAGAGAGAGAGAGAGAGAGATGACAAGCTCTAGTGAAGAGATGGCTCAGAGTTCCCATGCCATTGGCTTGATTAAGAGCTCCAATGATTCTGTAGAAGAGAAACTTGACGAACTTCGACGTTTGATGGGAAAAACCGAAGGCGATCCGTTGAGAATCGTTGGTGTCGGGGCAGGTGCTTGGGGTAGTGTATTCACTGCTTTGCTGCAAGACAGTTATGGTCATCTGAGAGATAAGGTTCTGATAAGAATATGGAGGAGACCTGGAAAGATAGTTGATAAGGCTACGGCTGAGCACTTATTTGAAGTGATCAATTCGAGGGAGGATGTTTTGAGGAGACTGATTAGGCGGTGTGCTTACTTGAAGTACGTTGAGGCTAGACTAGGTGATAGGACCCTGTATGCCGATGAGATTTTGAAAGATGGTTTCTGCTTGAATATGATTGATACTCCGGTTTGCCCTTTAAAGGTTGTTGCGAACTTGCAAGAGGCTGTTTGGGATGCTGATATTGTAATTAACGGCTTGCCATCAACTGAAACCCGTGTGGTGTTCGAGGAAATTAGAAGGTATTGGAAAGAAAGAATAACAGTGCCCATAATCATATCTCTGGCAAAGGGTATAGAAGCTGAGTTCGTGCCTGAGCCTCGCATAATAACTCCCACTCTGATGATTAATCGAGCAAGTAAGCATTGTGTTTCGTTTCTTGAAGTTTTGCCTATATCCATATCAACTGTTTTAGCCTATTTACTGACTTTCATGATAAAATTCATATCAATATGAATCTTGATTCCTGTTCTTGCAGCTGGAATCCCCATTGAGAACATTCTATATCTCGGAGGACCTAATATAGCTTCAGAGATTTATAATAAAGAATATGCTAATGCTCGAATTTGTGGGGCTGAAAAGTGGAGGAAACCATTGGCAAAGTTCTTAAGGCAGCCCCATTTTATTGTGTGGGACAATGGTGATCTTGTTACTCATGAAGTTATGGGTGGTTTGAAGAATGTCTATGCCATTGGAGCTGGTAAGATCTAGTTTTTTGCAAGCATGCTAAGTCTTCTACCTCGCATGATAATATGTATGGAAATACTGGTTTAATGATAAGGAATATTCTGGGAAAAGGCAGCAAAATTCCCCAATTTAATGATTTTATTAACACAATTCCAGCTAATGATTGATCAAAACAGGACTTATTTACCCAATAAAAAGAAAAACAAAGGTGTTGAGTGAGCCAATGTCCTACTTTCATTATGTAGTTGAAGGTATTGTAATTTTGAATTGTTTGATCTTAAAGTGGTACATATTACTTGATATTCGATAACCTATACCCCGCAGTTTCCAAGATGCTAAAGGACATTGCTCAACACTTGATATTTGAACTAAATATTCAACTTCAATTTCAGCAATAAGTTGAGAATTCAAATTTCTATAAGTTAACTTCCTATATTGATTCCACAGGAATGGTAGCTGCCCTAACCAATGAGAGTGCCACCAGCAAGTCGGTATACTTTGCACTCTGTACATCTGAGATGATATTTATCACTCATCTCTTGGCAGAAGAGCCTGAAAAACTTGCTGGGCCTTTGTTGGCTGACACTTATGTAACCCTGTTGAAAGGTCGTAATGCATGGTATGGACAACAGTTGGCCGAAGGGGGATTGAACCTTGAAATGGGTGATAGCATCAAGGGGAAGGGTATGATTCAGGTAAGAAATCTTTTCTGTTCCATGGAGCATTTTGAGCTAACAGTTTTAGGTTGGTTTGGGTGATAGAGTCTTGAGGATATCGTTGGATGTCTGCTGAATTCCGTATGCAGACAACCTATGTTTCATAACAGGGGAAAAATGGTGTTGTTAAAGCAACTATAGATAACTTTTGGAAAGATGATTCTTAAATTTATTTTTATTTTTCAGGCATGCATGTTCCTGTCTTTATTGCCTCAAAAATGCTTGCTTTCAATGTCTAGAATGATAATGGTCTATAGGCATGTCTTTAAAACTTTTGCATTAGCTCAGCATGTTTAAGTATCCCAGACCATTCCTGGACTGTTAAAGATCATTTTCCCATTGGTTTTATGGTCCATTTTATTTGTTTTGTTGGTGTATAGTGTAAGCTTAGATAACTGCATCTCCATTTCTTCATCAGCTTGAAGCTCCCTTGGATCTCACCGACACGCTGTAGCATAGTCATTGTCAATTGAATAACCATAAATTGGTGGCATTTGTAATAACTGTTTAGTAGTAGAACCAGATTCTAACTCCTTTTGTTTACATCTTATCCGGTCCGTCATTTTATTCCTTCTACGAATACTGATCTCATTATTATGACAGGGTGTCTCTGCTGTGAAAGGCTTTTATGAGCTTCTTAGTCAGTCCAGCTTAAGCGTCTTGCATCCAGAAGAAAACAAACCAGTAGCTCCTGTGGAGCTTTGCCCCATCTTGAAGATGCTATATAAAATACTCATCACAAGGTACTCTATTTCTTTTTTCCCACTCGCTAGGTGATGCTTTTCATTACAAAAGACTTGCATGAGTATGAGCTGATGAAAACTTGGTTTGAATGTTAAGGGAGTTCCCTTTGCAGGCCATCCTCGATGCGTTAAGAGACGAAACCATGCATGACCCGAAAGATCGTATCGAGATAGCACAGACTCATGTGTTCTATAGATCATCTCTTCTTGGTAACCAGCCTAAATAACAGAAAGATGATCACTAGTGTAGGTTCTATTGTTGAAAGTAGGAGTTGTAGTGGATGCAATATGATGACTTGGGAGATTAACGTTCTTACTTTGTAACTCTTGGATGAATTTTTTATTCATTTAAACACGACATGTCTTTGATCAAGTTGGACACTTGAATTTGACCCATATATGTAAATGATTAGAGCTCTGTAAATTTCCCGGGAACCAAACAAGTCCATTTGACAAAAGTAAAACCATTTTTGCGGAAAGGGAAAATGACTATATGGAAAAAGATGTTATTTTTTTCCTTCTACCTGTCATGTTAAAGAACAAGAAGGCTTGTATTCATCAACTTTACCCTACCACCTGCATGCTTGCCAGCTTGCCTCCTTTTCCTTTTGCCTTTGATTGATTACATTACAGACTTCAAGGGCACACTGAAGTTAGAACTATAGAAAGAGACCCCCCAAAAGGAGAAAATCAAAGGTAATTATTAATTTTAATCTCATCCTTAAAGTAGTATCGGTGAAATGAAGCCAAATGGGTGGGTGGTGTTGCAGAGGACCCCACTAAGGCACTAACAACCTGGCATTTATATAGATTAATGTTAATTATCTACTAAATCTCTAAAAAAATGATGTTGGACCCACTTGTTCTGTTCGCTCTAATCACCCCCATGTGATTGTTTGCGTTTGTGGACCTTCCTGTTTCCCCCCCCCCCTCAAGTGATATGACCCCACCCTTTATAATTCCAGTAGTGCCATTACTATTTTGCCATCATTGAATGTGCAAGGTAAGATTTTTAACACACAATTAGAAAAGTTCTTGTACCACATGATCTTTGATTACTATGAACTGAGATTTCAAACATTCTTCCTCCATTGTTCTTCATTTTTACCCTGAAAGGGCCATACACAATGCAATACATGCATGCTTTTACTATTTTACCCAAGGCTTTTCCGCTTTGTTTCTTCCAGGGAAACCATTGGGGAGGGGGAATTACAGTTCAAGGGGAGTTACAGCTACACATTGACTGTGTGACCCTTTTGTTCTTTCTATGCTTTTCTTTTAACCTGTGGTCCAAACTACTGAAACAATAGGTAACGAATAACACAACAAAAGAAAAGGAATGGCTGACCCACTTCCTTCACTGCCTTTTTATGTACGCATTTTGTATGGTAGTAAATAGAGTATAGTGGTGGTTGGCGCTCTCTATTAGATCTCTGATGTGATATTATGTTGTTTGATTTATACCTTCAGTCTTCTACCTGTAAAGCGAAGCCGGCCTCGTTTGACGATTCGATTGGTGAGAATAAAGGTTAAACAAAGATGATGCTTTGAAGAGGGAATCCGAAGCTGTCCGTTTACCTTAGCATAGGAAGCTAAATTCCAACAGGGCAAGTTGGGCCACCAATCCCTGCATACATGCCGATGGTCCCATGTCCGGATGAGAACCTGAATCGAGAAGCAATACTCATGTTACAAATCATTTTGACCTTATAAAGATTCCGTTTATAACCGTGATGAATATGATAGTATTTTGAAAAATAATGATTATAATCATGTACCTTGGAATTTGGCAGTTGAAGGAGTTGAACGATGCCGTGTCTAATGCATTATTTGCTGGAAGCAAGGTTGAAGGGACCCAATTATTTGTTATAGAAGAAGCCGAGACTGATGCGTCCCTATCCGCTTCAGTATTAGAGAATGCAGACAAGTACTCTCCAGAAGCTTTTGTTGGAGATGCAAAAGGGTTATCAGGAAGGTTGTGCTCCAAACTGCAATTTGATACAATAGATGCATAATAAGTTCGATCTGAATGCAAACAATTTCAATCTGAATGCCCAAAGTTCAATTACTTAAATACCTTTCTGGAAGATGAGGGCTCTCCTTGCCAGTACCATTCTCGTCACCACTGGCTGATGCTTTACCAGCAGCAGTACCAGTACCCACTACTTGCTTCTCGAAAGCATTGGCGGATACGGTCGGCATAGGACTAGAACAATTCTCTGCAATGAGATATAGCAAGCCATTTCATACGAATTAGGAAAACAATGACTAGATTAAACTGTTATATTCGAAATGAAAATCATGTTAGCTACCTTGTGGAGCTTCTTCACTGTTGTGAAACTGAGGAAGTACAAGGGACTGATTGAACATGTTTGGCGAGTGAGTAGGTGATGGAATGGGACTTCTACTAGATAGAGCCCTGTGATGGTGATTCTCTTCGCACCGAGGAGTTGCAGGCCCATCAACCTTCTATTTGAAGCTCAGCTTGCTCCTCCATCTTTCTCCTCCATAACAAGTCCTGGGTATTGTAAAACGCCCTCGGTCCTACAGTGAACACAGTTATCGTTAGAGTGGCAATCCCATATACCACGAGGAAAATAGACCATGGCTTCTGCTTACCAGCTGAAGATCAAATAGGTCTCGGGGGCTCGAATCAAGGGCATCGGAGTACCACAAGGAGAGAAATCTACTTTCCATTTGATGCTGTTTCCTGCAAAGATAACAAAGTATATTTTACAGATCTAGACCAAGTAAACAAATCATCCGAACAAAGATTTCACAGTGAAAAGAGGATGCCTGTACCTGTCCAGGACTTTTCCTTTCTCCTTGTAAGGCTTCACCAGAACCCGAGCATCGCAAACGAAATGAGGGTTCCCTTTAGCCAGGATGATTTTAACGGTCTCCGGATAAACAAAAGTAACAAATCCAAACATTCTCTTCTGCTGATATGGAATCCTCACATCTTGAACAGGTCCATATATACTTCAAAGGAGAAACACATAGTTTTTAGACATAATCTACCAAGCTGAACCAATATAGAAGTAGAGTGTTCAACAAAATACCTAAAATAGTTGGACACATCCTCCTCTCTGAAGGTGCTATCAGCTGGGAAAGTCAAGTAGATCTGTCTTGAAGCCGGGTTAACCATGCCCGCTTCACCGTTTATCGAAAAGCCGTTCCTTTCGAGCCGGGAACGGTTAAATTTGTTGATATCATTGCCCATCATTAAAGTAGCAGCAGCTGCAGCCCTACATTTTCAAACCAAAATGAAATCTTTGATCATTTCCACACACCACATATTGAAGTCAAGACTCGATCTTTAAGTATTACATGATAGATAGCACACAGAGAAGGGATCAACTGCAAAGTACCTCTGAGAATCATTTTGTTGCTTTTGAAGGAACGAGTTCATGCACTTTAGGGAGTAAGGAGGAAAAGAAGCAGAACCTATGAGCTGTGAAGCAGCTGCCAACCTATGTTGCTGAGCTGATTTGGATCTGAGTAGTTCATGGCACTGATCCATCTCAATCTTGTTACGTGAACCAACGATGGTGGCACCATCTGCTCCAGTAACCATTGAACTAGTCTCTCCAAGTCCACCATGGATAAATCTGCAATTATTCCCATTTTTACAATACCCTCTAAGAAAATACAGGCAGTGTCGCCACCCAAACCCAGAAGCTTGGTCATCAGCTCCCGAAAAATCACTCATGGAGCTACTCCTCCTGTGAAAGGAGGTTCCCCAGCAGGAAGAGAACCCCATGGCGTCAGTGCTACTACCACAAGCACCAGCAGCAGAATTAGAGGACAAGTCAGCAGTTTGGGGGTAGAAGAAATCATGGTTTTGGGGAGAGCTTTCGTTGAGAAAAACCAGTTGATCTTGAAGTTGAAATTCATCAACCATATCAGTGGCTCCCCCGTTTCCATAGAAAGGCAAAGAAGAAGGATTTAAAGAGCCGCTGCTGGGACTAATCAACTCATCAGGGTTTGGTAGTTCAGACAAAGGACTCCATGAAGAAGTGCTAGAAGAAGAAGAGAGGTTGGAAGGGATAGTGAGAGAAGATGGTATGAGCCTTGAAGCAGATGAGTTTTGCCTTGGAATACTAAAAGGAGAAGGAGAAGATGGAGTTGAAGGTGTAGAAGGAGAGTTAGAGGGAAGTAGAAGACCAAGCTCTTTCTTGGCCTTGACTATCACAGAGTGAAGTGAAGCTTCAGGACCAAAGGCTAAACGAATCATCTCCTTCTCACCATGGTCCTGAATCAGCAGCAAACCCATGATTTTAGAAGCGTTTTCTGGTTCCAAACTTCGGATTCTAGAGAACACAATTCTGGTTGCTTCATAGCTATCCATAATAGAAAAAAAATACAACCTTCACTTGCTGTATTATATTCCTTGTATGATTTTGAGAGAAGAGAGAGAGTGAGGTCTTTTACAAGTAAAACATCTTTCTCTAATCAACCACAAGCTCCACCTACCAACTGGTGAGTTGTGACCAGTTTGCAATGCTCTCTTTATCCCTTCCATCTTATTTATTCCCACAAAAAAAAAAGTACTTTATCTTTAAAGAAAGAGAAAAAAAAAGGGAGAGAGCTTGAAGGAAACGTATACAGCAGAGAAAGTAGTAATAAAAGAGAAAAGAGAGGCGCCAAAAAGGAGTATTCCAGTCCCGTGTGAAGAGATTTAAAAAGGGAGCAAAAGAAGCAAACATGGACATGGTGGTTGAATTTCTTAATAAAGCTTGGATAGATTTGAAAAAAATCAAACAAAGCTTCGACCTTTGGGTAACATATAAATGAGAGAAAGTTCTCAACTTTCGAGTTCATACAGCGTTTAATACATAAATTATTAGTTTTGATTCATTTTAATACATAAATTTTCAGTTTTTAAAATCATATCGATATTTAATTTTTATTTTATTTTAATATCCGTTAAAAACTTAACGTTAAATTGTTTGTGCTATTTGCTTTGAGTTGGAATGAAATGCTTATATTCATCTAAAAAAACCTAAAGTTAAACTTTGAAAAAAATTAAAAGTTTAGGTATTAAAACTGATAGTTTAAGTATTAAACGAGTTAAGTTTTTTATAGCGGGTACTAACATAAAACAAAAAAATAAATATTAGTGTATTTTGAAAAAAATTAAAAGTTAAAATACTAAAATGGATCAAAACTAATAATATAGATACTAAACATGTAATTTACCCAAAAATCATTTACGTTGAAGATTTAGCTTTATAAGTTAGTTCAGTCGCGCATATTGAGGAACAAACAACAAAAGGCAAGAATCAGTTAAATGACGACGGTTAGTCT